AAACTTCTTCACTTTCCCAAAACTTAAATCAAAACTCATGCATGCTATGTTTTTCAACTATTCTCCTCTTTGGTTTTGAAAACATGGAATTGAAAGTATGAACTCATGAAGTTTCTGAAAATTGCAAGTTATGAACTCTCATGCATGTGAAAATGAACTCAATTCATGTAAGATAACAAAAATAAAACCCTAAATGATCAAATTTCCAAATTAACTCCATATTTCATGATCCTATCTCAAATTCATCATCTTTTTCTTTCATTCATTCATAAATACATGCAATTGTTCATAATCTCTTCTTGAATTCAAGTGTGAAGTGAATTATTAACATGAATTGAACTAAAAATTTACCTCAACTTGTTGAATTCTTGAGTCTCCTCTATTCTCTTCACTTCTTCTTCTCCCTAGTCTTCTAAGTCTTGAACTCTACCTCACAAGCTCTCAATTTCCAACACAAGAATTGAGCTCTCTCACTCTTGCACTACAACGAATAAGAGTTTTAAAGACCAAATATTTTGGTCTCTAAAAGTAAAAATTTTGTTGCAAAAGACATTTAGGGACCAATTTATATCATCATGAGGATAGTCGCTAAAAGGTTGTCATGATCCGAACTCGGCCCTATGGGTTAAGGACATAACCGGCCAGTAATCAAGGGATTACCTATGACCTCAAACCAAACAAGACATATCTCATCAGAGTAAAGCGGCCAAACGGAAGCAAATTTAAAACTTTTGTCCATAGAGCTGTGCTTACATGGCACACCATAACAATCTATATATATATATATGTTAATAACTCACATCAAAGGAATAATAACACAAGGTTCTGTACATATAGGATCATTCAAGTCTAATTCAGTCAAACCCAAAGTTTATATACAATAGTAATCCGATGTTTTCGCCAATATAACGAAACTATATCAGAAGAACAAAAGAGGCGAAGACAAGTCTCATGCGTGAGACGTTGGTGCTGACTCTTCAAAACCTTGACTGTTTCTCACATATTTCACTGATGCTGGGTTTGGACATCCCTTGGCTCACCTACATACACACGAATGAGCATGAGTGAAAGTCCAATGAATAATATCGAATAAGGAAGATACATGAACAATCTTTGAAACAGTTACATCAGACAACCTTGGGTCCAATTCATGTTTCTATTTAATGTATCAATCGACTAAAGTTCTAAACGTATCAAACGGCCTCGGGTCCAATTAACTCATACCCGACGGCCTTTGGCCCATCCATCATGTCTAACGGCCTTTGACCCAATCGTTCGTATCCGACGGCCTTTGGCCTAATCGTTCATATCCGACGGCCTTTGGCCCAATCGTTCATGTTCAACGGCCTTCGGCCCAATAGTTCATGTCAAACAGCCTTCGGCCCAATCATTCGTGTCAAACGGCCTTCAGCCCAATCATTCATGTCAAACGGCCTTCGACCCAATCATTCATGTGTGTCAAACGGCCTTCGGCCCAGTCAATTGTATCCAACTGCCTTTGGCCCAATCATATGGCATAACAAATATTTGTCCCCAATTGAATATAACAAACTTATAAGACTTATATGGAAGCAAGCAATTAGACAAATAACATACTTCAGATATCTTTATTAAGATATTACTCATAATGTTCTTCCGATGGATTTTCCCTGGATCTTGACCCTACACATTACACAACACATATGGGTCACAATTGATTCAATCCGTTCTTAATTCATGCATCCCTCTAAGGTTTCTTTCTTATTCTTTTAATTCATTCATAATGCTCAATGCATGCCCAAGAGCACTTAGAAGTGAAAGAGAACGGAAAATGAAACACAGAACACCTTTACAAATTTTCTGAAACAGAGATCCCCGCTCGAGCGTGGGTTCCTCCGCTCAGGCAGACCCCGTGGGTCTGCAAAAATACTGGTTGCCTCATTTTTATGCTCGAGCGTGAATTCGGACGTTCAAGCTGAAAGTCACACAACATGGCTCCTCGCTCGAGCGTGAATATCCCTGCTCGAGCGGACATCCATGTCTGCAAAAGTGCTGGGAACTAGCATTTCACGCTCGAGCGGCGACTCCTCTGCTCAAGCGGACATGCCGGATTCTGGGCTTTCCAGAACTGTTCTTAAAGCTCAAACTCGACCTCCAAAGGTCCAAAACTCATGATTTTGGTTCAAAACATACAAATACATTATACCACATGAGAATATAAGTGTATGGGATTGAATTATCACAATCTAATTCTCAAATAAATCCTCATTTCTTTTGTATGATCAAACCCATGCATTCAAACTTCATCCAAAATTCATATCTCTACCAATTCAACATGCATGTTAGTCTTTGACCCCAATTCCATTTCAAATAGCACCAATGATGCTCATAACCATGAAACTCAACAAAACCATGCTTGCATGTATGATTAAATGCTCAACTTCTCATAATTAACATGCTAAATGTTAGATTATGCAAATTCATGGTAATTATACACATGCATGTACATACAAGCTCCAAATTCAACAAATTCAATTCAAGTTATGTTCTTGATCACAATTAAACCTTGAATTTACAAAATTACAAACTCAAACTTAAGAATCCACTCACCTAGGAGCTTCAAACACCCAAATTCTAGCTAATTCTTTGAGTTTAACCTCTAATTCTCAAGCCTTTAGTTCAATCTTCAATTTGAGCTCCCTCTCTCTCTCTCTCTCTAAGTTTGGTTCTCTCTCTCTCTAGAGAGCAAAATCTAATTTGAGCTCAAAAACAAATGAATGAGAGTGTAAATTAGCCCTTTCTAAAAGCTCTCTTAATCACATTTCATTAATACGAGCACTTTATCATCAATTTAATCTATTTAATCTGATCCGAATCATTTTTCAATTAAATTTCACCGTAAGCTCTAAAAATTACGCTAATCACAATGGCGTAGTCAATTTTGACTTCTGTAGCCGATAAGGCCTTCAATTTAAATTCTAGAGCAGCGAATCAAACATATTTTTCTATAATGAATAGATAGAAATTCAAAGCCACATATATTCATATAAATGACACTCAAAATCATATCAAACACATAATCACATTCATAATAAAGATCAATTAGCATAATGCGGAACAGGGTTATCACAAAGGTTGTCCCGAAAAGTCGAAAACAAGGCTTTTAGCAACAAAATTTTAAAAATGTCACCAATAAATAGACTTTCAGAGACAAAATAATTTGGTCTCAAAATGATTTTTTTCTTTAGATAAAAAATTTGGCCCCAAAAGGATAATAATTCATCACTAATATTTTATTTTTGTTGCTAAAAATATAATAACTACACTTTTCGCAACAACAATATTTAGTCCCTAAAAAATAATTTTGTCCCTAAATTTTGATATCTAAAACCTTAATTTTTTGTAGTGTTCTCTTAAGTTTTCTCCAGCAAAATGCATATAACGAACTCAACTTCTCACATCTTAACTTATATATTGAATAGAATTAGATTAGGATTAATTTATGGCTCTAATCATGTATTAGCTTAATTAATCACTACTTAATCATGATTAACAATTAACTTAATTAACCTATTAATCACAATTTAATCATTCTTAATTAATACTAATCTCACTTAAACTTTTGATTGAGTTCCTATTAGGTTCTTCACACTAAACTGGATCAATTAAACTTATCACTCAATGGTTTCTGAGTCATATGGGTTATCAATTCCTGATTCAAATCAAAATCACCTATCAAATAAATCACATACGAATCACACCACATACAATGAAAAAAAAAATTAGAATTTTCTATAATTAAATTAATGCAAAATGATGTGCAAGGTGTGGTTATCACACTTGAAGGCTTAAATGTAACCATTCAAACACATACCAATATACATTCATATTACTACTTTATTATAGTACTATTCACTATGTTTTAACTCACCCATTTCCCTTATGTGTATGTAGGTGAAAAAGACTTGAAATGGAAGTTTTTGCCTCTTGAAGTTATATGTATATGTTAGTGAAGAAGAAGTAGTATTTACTATGCTCATGAAGTTGTACTTAGCTTTGGAAAAGATGCCCTCGTAAAAAATATATACTTCTTGTAAGAAAATTAATTAATGTAATAAAAAATGTTGCACGTTTTGTTTCATACAGGCATGCACTGCCCTTGATGGATGTTTTAGATAAGCAAACGGCTTCCACAATTTAAAACAAATCTTGCCCCAATTATCACAAGAGTCTAACTTGTTTTGTTTAGTTAGGCCTTCGGTAGTCTGTGACTACTGGCTGATTACCACAATATCCCATTTGGGAGTGGGATGAGGTCATGACATGACTATGATATGTAACCTATTTATTCTTTGAAATGGGTTTCATTTGACAACTCAAGTAAGAAAACTTTATAAGATTTGTTAGTTTTTAAGGTGTTACTAAACTTTTACACAATAACAAAGTACACGTTCTTTTGTGCATTTTTGCACATTGTTTAGTTAATTTTTTTGTTCAAAAAGTTACCTTTCCAGGAGATGTCATGTTGTGAGCAAAGCTACGTAGTGCTATGACTGCTTGTTGCAACAATGTGATTGGTGCATATTAATGGGGCCTGGTACTTTACATTAATGTTTATCCCAAGGAGTTTGTTTTTATTAGTATAAAATATAGCTCCAAAACATCATATATTTTTTTCTCTTTCTACATGCATAATGAATTGCATATGAGGGATTGTGCTACATAAATTAAAATACAATACTCTGTTTATTCTCTTTTTGCATAAACTTTTTATAGAATCGGTGATCTAACAAAGCTAGCAAATTCAAAGCTATACATAGAAAGTGTCATCCATTAAAAGCTTTACAATGTTGATCAATACTCCAAATATACCGCCAAAATCAAGCTTTACTATATTGATTGATAGTCAATATTCACCAAAAGCGTAAGTGTCACTATTCAATCTCAACTTCTCATGTGACCTTTGTATGTGTTTAGAAGTGAGTGGAAAAATTGTTGCATTGTTTCTCCTTTTTTTCATTATTTACGAAGCTTGGCAAGCGGAAAAGACTGGTTGGATGCAAAACCAAATGTGGGGTGCACTTGAGAAAATCGTTACATAAGAACTATTCCAATTTCATGAAAAGTGGACTGCCACAGCGGTTACTGTTTTATCAGAATGGTGACTGGAATGATTTTCCTCGTGATATTGTTGAGTTGGTTAGCAAAGATTTTCAATTGAAAAAAGCAGCAATTGAAGTGCAGTTCAAGGGCTGCCATTTAATGTTTGATATCTTGTACATGATTCAAGTAGATTTGAAGACAGGTTCCCAGAAACCTATAGCTTGGATTGATGAATCAGGTAGCTGCTTTTTTCCTCAATTATACTCTACTGATGGTGGAATACATGAATGCAATCAATCTGAGTTAGAAAAAGATGAATTTCGGTATGCGGAACGAAATGGGGCCCCTGAAATCAAGTTGCATCTTCAAATAGAAGTAAACAGAGTTAATGGCTTCAATTTGGAGGAATGTGTGAAAGAGTCAAATATTTGTGCTAAGCGAATTAAAATTGAACAAAAATCTAACAGAAATAATGATGAGCTAGGCATTGATGACAATTATAATGAAAAATCTGTTTCAAAAATGGACAAGGTTGTTGAGGAAGTTCAACAGAGTGACAAAAATTTATCCTCTAAGTTTGAATATGTTTGTGAAACTGTAGATTTAGATATTGTGAAAAACATGTTCGTTGTGGGCATGAACCTGTCCTTGAATGCAAACGTACTTGAAATTACTCTGGTAATGTGATGCAAACTCGCTGGGAAATTTTTCAGAAGCAGATTGAGATAACTCAAAGGTATCGTGGGGATCCAAATGTTCGGTATGCTTTGCTCGCTTCTGCAAAAGATGCACTGCCTAGTATCATGACCTATGGGCTTGCGCATTGTGGACTCAAAACTAAGGCCACATATGGGTTTTGGAGTTCACCTTGCAGCTGTGAAGTGTGCCCTCACCAGGTCTGCATATTCTCTTTATTTTCTTGTTTTTTAATTGTTCTTTGGATTAGTATAAGCAACAACACAATATTTTGCACATTGTGGACCAAAATCAAGAAATATGCCTTTCCCCCCACTCTTTTGTTATTGATTGTGCTTTGGGAGGAGGATTTAGCTCTTTTTTTTGTTCTTCTGTTTTTGTTTTTTTACAGTGCAAGTTATTGTGATGTTGATGAGAATGGAATACAACACATGTTGTTTTGCCGTGTCATACTGGGAAATATGGAACTTGTTCATCCTGGATCTAGACAATTTCATCCCAGTAGTGAAAATTTTGATAGCGGAGTTGATGATCTGCAAAATCCGAGTCATTATATTGTTTGGAACATGAATATGATCACACACATCTATCTAGAATATGTTGTCAGTTTCAAGATGTCCCACAGTGCTGAAGGTGCTACTTAATACCTTATTTTTTAATTTTTATTTTTATTTTTTAAATTTTATATATTTATTGGTTAATGCATAATTGATTATTCAAGCTTAAAAGAAATTATGATACACCACCTTTGTATGTGTGACCGCTGGCTTGATCAATACCATTTAATTGGTTTTGTTACATTTGGATGGAAAGATCTAGCCTGACACGTTTGACCTTTAGTTCATGTACTATCCATATTTGTGAGTGAGTGGGACTCACATTCAGGTAAGGTATATGAAATCTGAATACTATTAATTTCTTGTTGTTTAGTTTAGAATTTTTTTTTTTTTTTTAATATTTGAGACATCTTTAAGTATTAGGGTGTGAGACGTTCTCAATGTTCCTACAGAAGCTCTGGTCGGGAAAGGAAGTTGATTTGATGTATCCGGTGTTACTACTTGTCAGGACCATCATGGTCAATTGCAGCTAGATTCATCTTCAGCTGAAACGGTAAGCATTCACATACTATAAAAATTCCATTGATTGCGAGTCTTTCTTTGCTAATTTTGTCCAGCGAGCAGCAAATTTTTTATGGGGACGGTACAAATCTGGGCCCCTTCTGCTTAGTTATGTTAATATAAGGAGCAACTGGGAGTGCGTTGTTGTTGGCACAAGCTGATAGCACCAAGACACCGTAACCCAGAATTTCTTCTATGACTGGAATTGTCCAGGAGTTGAGCTAAAGCTTTAGATTTTAATCATTTTGCAAGCAGGCCTGGTCCCGCAAACTACTTTATGAGGTTTGGTTGGCTTTACTGGAGTCTATATTCGGGCGTAACTGTGAATTGTCTTGTAATGTGATGAAATTGTGTCTACTTGCAAAAAGGCAGAATAACTATTATGAGACAGTTTTGTGGATATATAGGAATTTGAACATAGGTTGCTCAATAGTCACTTCACCATAAGGTTGATGAGAGCCCAAAATGTTGGGTGGGGATTGGATCTCACTTTTCAGACCATGCAGTGAGTTGACCTAATAAATTTAATTAGGTTACATGACAAGACTTTCCTATTACACTTTTGTATTAATGGCTGATACTTAAATGCCTGTTGATATTAAATTGTTTTTATTTATTGTTTCAACATTATTGGGAATGGCAAATATTCTATTGACGACGAAGGGACCAATTTTCATTTGTACTTACAAATAGTTGTCGCTGGTGAATGTCTTTGATCTCAATCTCTTCATTATGATTTGGGCATTATTTTCAAAAATGATTTGCAAGTTGGTATTGTAAATGATGGTAACCTTTGTTTGTAGTTAATGGCTTTTCCATTTTTGATAGTTTTCATTTCTTATTTTCTAGGAGAGAAATTGCCATCCGTGTTGAGATTTTGTGGACAAATCTCAGGGAAATACCCCCAGCATCGGTTCAAGCACCTCCAAGACTCCTAAATCCCCTTGGATGCCTTTTGCTATTTTGTTTGATGCCATCTCCAATAAAATAGATCCTAAAGATACGAAATTGTTGAATATTCATTATGGCCTATTCAGGGTACGTTATACCATCTCTTATTTTCTTTTTTTTTTATAAATAATTTTTTATGTATATTCTTTTAATATATTTTTATCTTTTTTGTTTTTTTGTCCCTTTTCTTTTTGCCCCACTTGTTGGAAATGTTATTAGAGCAAGAAAATCAATCGGGATGATTTTATTAAAACGTTGAGATTGATAGTTGGGGATCAATTGTTGAGGTCTATGATAACTGGTCTTCATTGCAAGGGTACGATTCATTCTGTTTTGTTTGTCTCATGGGACCATAGCTGCTTGTCTGGGGGCTATATTTAAGTTATAATTTTGAGGTTTGCTAATTATGGGTTTCATGCCAATCTAACAGTTGGCATTGGAGATTATAATAATGGGAGGTTAAAAGATTTTGTTGGGTGCTTATTCCTTCTGGTTAAATACTGTAGTTTGCTTAAAATAAATAAAGGGTACCATTTAAGTCTTTACAATCTGAATTATTGATGTTGTACAACATTTGGAACTTTGTTATGTATGTAATGCTATTGCTTTTACATACACACATGTATACTTGTTTGCATGTATATATCTGTGTGTGTTGAGAGGCTGGGGATTCTGGTGAGGAGAGAGTTGCCATTATTTAAGAAGATGCTCACATTTGCTAGTAAAGAAACATTTCTAACTTCTTACACGAATGGGGGAATATAAATTCCATATTTTTCTTAGATTTTTTTTTTTTAATTTGAAGTACATTTTAAAATAATTTATAACATCTTATTCAAGAATAGTGAAATGCTAACAAGTACCCCGTGCGTATTGTTTAACAATGGAATTGATATAAGAAGTGTCTTGAAAATAGATGAAATAGTTAAAAAGTGTATTGAATTCAGTGAAAAGGGTCTTATGTATTTAATTTTTTGTCTTTCTTTTGTGCCTAAAAGGCACTTGTTAGCAAGACCAATATTATACGATGTATATAAGTATTTAAGATGCGTCCCAATAGCAATACTTAACTTTTGGACACATCCCATTATCTTAATATTTAGGTTTGGAAATATCTGCCCTTTTTCTTTCAATCCGTTGTCCTGGAAGTATGTAATCCAGAACCCCCAAATGGATTTATCCCTTTTTGGAATATGACACTTGGACACACCTGCATTTGATGTTTGCACCTGAGTCCATGTAACATAGTCCAAGTCAACAGCTCCTGCTATGGCAGATAGTGGGATGCATCAGCAGACATAATGTGGATTATGCGCTGGTAATTGATTTGGGTGCGATTCAAGTCAACAAATATGGGCAGCTTTGATCAATGCACCCTCAGAAGTTCATTTTTTCCAGTTTTGTATGATGCGCAATTTTGCTATGCAATCACCCCAATATTTTGGGCTCAAGAATGAGTCTACAAAAAGCTGTTAAACAAGTTTTAATATGCTTTATGTGTCGCTGGAAAACATGCCTTAATTGCCTGGGCAATGCGGACAATTTATTGTACAATTGAATGCAGTAAGGTCAGTGGTGGGTGGGAAGAATTGCTTGACATAGGTAGTTGACAAAATACAAGTTGAGGATAGAAAAAATCTCACTGCTTTTTATTTTTATTTTTTTGGGAATGATCTCCCAAGAGTCGAAGAAGTTTTTGTCTTTTCTGTTACTTTATTTGTTCTTTTTGTCACTGTTGGATTTGCTTTATAATTGATGGTCCATTTCTGTTTGTTAAGATCATTTGTGATCTGTTGAGTGAAGTTTGCATTTGCATATTTTATGGAGCAGGACAAGGACTCTCCTCTTGTTGTTGGGTGATAACATGCATTTGTGACAAAATCTTGAATTTGAAATTGATTGTTCCTAGTTGGTTATGTTTGCAGTTACCATCCAATTTTATATGCCCGCCAAAAGTGCCGAAGGAGGAACAAGAATGTTGAGGCAGCAGTGGTACACTGTTTCTCTTATATGGTAACATAAAAATGATCAAATTTGTTTTTGCTGCTGCTCGTGGGAATTTGTCGTCATAGAGTTGTGAACAATGTAGTTTAGGTATATGAAATTTGCATTTAATTTCATTTTTTTTGGTCGGTCTTATTATGTCACTATTCAACTTGTTGAACTAATACTTTTTTCAATGAAGGTATGCTGTTTAATGGTTGGTCTCAATTGTGAATTATTTTTTTCTAAAGCAAACAAGGTAATTGTAAGAATCTTTATTCTTAAGTGGGATTTATTTCCAAGTGTTTGATGAAAGCGTCAGCTGCGCTACCTCTCCTAAACCAATCCAAAATCACGAGTTATGTAATTAGTTCGGTATGGTCGGTATTTAGATAAATTTTTTTACTAAATTGATAATGTCGGTTTTATTATTTTGAATACTGATGCATACCGTTTTTTTTCATCAAACCGTACCGAACCGAATTGATTGAAACAATTTGATTCGGTACGGTTTAATTGGTCTAGAATCTTTCAAACTTGAGTCACTTTTAGATATGACAACTTACTTATATAAAAATATTAGATTAGTTATTTGCTTACCATTTCAAACGTATTTAATCCATTAATTTAATAAATACTTTTCAATTCTTAAATTAACAAAAATAAAAATAAAAAGTTAAAAAATATTAAGGTTTCAAGAATAATAAGTTAAGATTATATATAAAAAGAATTTATAAACTTAGGTTATAAAGATAATAAGGTTAATTAATTAAAGTTAATAATTTATTATACTTATTAATATCATTATATATTAAAGCGGTCAGTTTCGGTTTAGTTGGGTACACAAGGTATTTGAATCGATACCGAACCAAAAATCGAAAAAATTAAATTTAAAAATTGCACAAATCGATTGTTGTTAAAAAACAAACCAAATACAGCCGGTTTAGTCCGCTTTAATCGACTACAGCCGGTTTAGTCCGCTTTAATCGATTTAGTCAGTTTTTTTTTATTATTTTTGCTTACATCCCTATATAAATCACAATGGAAATGTGTTCTTGAAGAAAACATCCTCAGATTCGAAGCACACAAATGTTGGGATAAAAAGTAGAAAATCAGCCAAAGAACGTGAAGGCATGCCATCGTTGGCAAACCAGTAGTTGGAGGTGACAACGAGCAAGCAATGAACAAAACAATGGAGAAAATGTTGCAATAAAGCTATCATAATATAGGAACCTTTGACTTTACCAGTAGAAAAATAATCTAAACTTTTGAACATGCCGTACCTATACAGAACAATGATGAGATTATGTATCTCCTTCACCTACAGGATTTATACCCATTTTTACAGAAGTATAAGTATGTCCCTATAGGCTTGGTTCAGATGGCATTTAAACCCCTGACTTTGCTTGGGCAAAATACTAGTATTCAGTGTACACTCAGAGATGGGAGATGCTTAAATTGGAAAGTATCACTCATGGGCACCATAGAGACCAATCTCTCACATAGACCGGTATATTTTAACATATATCCAAATCTGAGTATAGCACTTATTGACCTCAGTCTATAACATCTAAATCTGAGTGACAGTTCACTGAAAATTTACCCCTTTTAAGAAGCATAGCACCTTTCTTTCTCATTAATTTAACCTCTCTTATTAATTTTATTTTATTTTCGTTTCTTACCTTTGGTCCCTTAAATGTCAGCAAGTCATCATTATGTATTCATGGGGTGTTTGGCAAGGAAAAAAATAGCCTAGTTTAGGCTAAAATTTACAAAAAGACAAAATAGGCTAAAATAGTTAATAAGACAAAATATTACATCAAACCGATAATCATTTCACTTTTTCTCTCACAAACATCACATCCAACTACAAAAAAATCCAATCATCTTCCCAAACACAAAAATTTTAGCCTACTAAAATAGCCAAAACCTAAAATAGCCTACTAAAATAGCAACTTCCCAAACGAAGCCATTATTTTTTATGTGATAAGTTCTTGTTTGCTTACCCCTCAATGACATAATTTTGATTGTGCTTTAAAATACACTAGAGGGTTGATCAGTAATTATGACATAATTGTCCCACTCCACTGTAATATATATAGAGCGTAGTGGTAGGATACCATCCACATCAGTTAAAAAAACACTTGCCCATGTGCATATAAGCCTTGTGGACACCTTCTCCTCGCAAGCCGGTTTTCAATGGTAAGTTTTGTATCACATGCTCACATAGATTGCATCCGATTACTTGGTGGCTAACACTTGGTTAAAACCCCCTTGAAAACAAGGAAGGGTGCCCAAGAGCTTATATTCACATGGGCTGATTGTTAACCTATGTGAGACAACTTTAGAATCGTAATAGTCATGTGAATTTTACCTACTCCCCTTTTATCAATTGCAAAAAATTAAAAATTAAAATTCATAATGAGAAAATGAATTCAGAAGCAAATTGATCATGCGGGGTCGTTTGGGAACTATGAATTTTAGCCAAAAAAATCATATACAAAAAGTCAATCAATTCTCAATACTTTTACATGTCTTTTTATAATATATATATATATATATAAGCCCTTAAAAATGCCAATTTCCAAACGAACCATAAAATTTTGAGCTTTACATGATAACTTAGGCCGAGTAAAACTTGAGCACTTCAACCAATATACCGGACGAAAGTGTGTGCAAACTTACGGGGGCTGCCCCTAACTTTGCACAAGATACTATGCCAGTAAACTTTTCCTATGGCCTCTCATTTAATTCTCGTGTTTTTAATTGGAGTTTTTATTGAAAAATTCTATTTAAGAGTGTTTTAACTTAAGAAGTCTATGAAGGAAATTTATAATCCACTTAGTCTAATGTATTTATACTTTTATTCCTTATAATCAGTACACTTATGGTCAACTTATTGCCATAATTCTAGAAGGTCTTTCTTTGTATAATGACCTCAAACTTCAATACCAGATGAAAAAATAGAATCTTACAGGGAAAAAAGAATGAGGAGAATTTTGTGATCAATTTGCTTATGATACCAAAATACATTATCGTTGAAAAACCAGAAAATCTAATCACAAAAAGTCTTCTAAACAACACCGAAAATACTATAAAAAATCCAAAGGTATTTCTTCAGCCTTACACCAGAAAAAATTTTCTCCTCCAACCAGAAAACCCACTACTAAAAAGGCAACATCAAAAAAAGATGTTAAATGTTGTAAGTGTGGAACAACCAGTCATTCTACTAACATATGTAGATCGAAATTTAAACAGAAAATTCAGGAAATGTCCTTAGATCCTACTCTAGCCCAACAGCTATTACAGACTTTATCTGAAGATGAAACAGATACTAGCTTTGAATCAGATGGACTCGCTGAGCTATACTCTCTATGTACCTCTAGTGATGAGCTAGGAACACCAGAACCTAATTATTCTTGTTTTACAAATCTGAATCAGATTTCTGAAATAAATTATTGGAAATCTATTGTTGAAATGAATGGTTTGGATCTTGGGGATCCTAGTATTCATGTTTTAACTGATGATCAGAAATCCATGCTTAGCTGAACAAATAAAGAATCCAGAAATGAAACTAAAATTTTTAGAAATTTGTTATCAACAACAGAAAGCCAGTACTTTAATTCCTCTTCAATCTTACAGTATGAAGAATGTTTTAAATAGAATACATTCTTCACCTATTAGTGAAAAACCCATCACTATCCAAGACATAAAAATAGAAATTAATGTCTTAAAAATAGAAATTAAGCATCTTCAAATTGCTAACCAAGCTATTCAAGCCGATATTCGTCAGCTTAAAGCCGCCAAACAGAAAACCACATATATTGCTCTAGCAACTTCTGAACAGGAAGATAATTAGTATTTGTTACTTGTGAATCACGTTACATTTCAAAAATGGTTCATTCGCATTACTTTTGTTATCCAACTTGATTTTATTATCAAAGATGCAATTGCCCTTGTTAATAGTGGTGCTGACATGAATTGCATACAGGAAGGATTAATTCCAACCAGATATTTTCAGAAAACTACCCAGTCACTTACTAGTGCTAGTGGTAATTCTATGCAAATCAAGTATAAAATACCTGAAGCTCTTATCTGTAACCAGGGAATTTATTTATCTACATCTTTGTCCTGATCAGAAATATGTCCCCAATTATTATCTTGGGAACACCTTTTTTATGTTTGTTAATGCCTCTCACTAAAATTGATACTATTCATACGACTATCAGTAATCAACTACTTATCTTTGAATTTATGGCAGAACATAAAAGGAGATTTGATTGTCTTGGAAGCAAATTCCTTCCCTGCACTCATGATCTCAGGGACAAATGGAAGGAAGCTTATCTTCTCAATCAACGATTGCATTGTTTGATCTCTTGGAGATTCATGAATATCAATGTATAGCTCAGAACCTTTATATGGTGCAGTGAAAAGACTCTCAAATGCCAATACAATGGCCAATTCAGCTCTAGAACCAGGTCTAAGTGTTTGATATACATCTCGACGCTTCCTGACATATGAAATTTTCTTTTTCTTCTTAAGTTGTTCATCAGGCTGGAATGAATCTAATGTCCCATCTTCACCATCTTTCCCATAAGTCCAAACAGTTGTCCTGCAATCTTCATCTAGAACATATAAGCCATGTTTGATTCACAAGATTAATAGTGAGGTATTAATAATCCTATCAAATTAGTGACGTATTCATTATCCAATTAAATTAATAGGATAAATTATCTATTGTATTAATAATCTCACCCCTACTCCATTACTAATAATCCTATAAATTTGTTGGATTAATTATCCATTGGATTAATAATCCTAAACCAAAATGTTAAAACAAACATAAGATAATTGGGCCTACGGATTAATAATCTCAATCTCATGCTCTAATCCATCCAATGAAACATGCTCATAAACAATTATTTACATGACCATTGTACCCAGATAATAAAGACCTACATTGCCTCAGGGTGTCCAACAAAGACGACTGTTTGTTTGACTCTTTAGAGCAAACCAAGTCTATATTTACACCACACCAGATAGATATAAAAACACTGAAATCTATTACTCGAACATCTGAAGCAGTTACTAATTTTGAAATATCAGTTACATCAGCCATGGATACATATCTGCAACTAGTAAATTAAGTAAAATATTAGAAAATAACTCTAAATTAATCTTCTATTCAATCAAAAACCAAACATGGTGATACAACTATGATAACTAAA